TGCTGCGCCGAAGTCAAGTAGCATTTTGCCTAGTGTTCCGTCCTCATCTTTCAGGCACACTTGCTGATGACTTCTGAGAACTCTGAAGAAAGAAAGCGAGTCAAATCGGGAAAAAAAGTGCGAAGAGGCTGGGATAGAGGCGAATCGCGCCAAATCGGTACTCAGCAGGGAGTCGTAACGCAACCGCCGCGCATCCTCGATCGGCCGATTCTTATGAAGTATGGAGACACCCTAACGCGCGATCCGATCCGAACCTGTTGCGGCCGGGCTGCAATAAACTGAGACAATGCAACAGCATGTAAACGGAACACACCGGCGAGCGGATATTTGCACACTAGACTATTATGAAAAGGTCAAGGTGCGCCATAGAAGTCCGCAGCCGCAGTCAGCAACTTCTGAGTCAACCCTTTTTGTGCACTATAAATATATATGGATTCCCTGCTATCTGTCTGTGCAACTACCGTCACTTGCGAATTTCTTGGAAACTTGGTGAAATGCAGATGTATATTAACTTGTAGCCATACCGTCCCGTAAATCATTCATGTTCTGATAACAGCCAATTTAGTAAGAGTTGAGATAACTTACTAAAATTCATTAGTAGTGGAAAGTTCATATTCTGTAGCTGATTTATTAGTTGTATTGTATTTAGTGGGTGCATCTCAGCTGCTTTGATCGTTGGATGGAGAAGGCACCTGCCCAACAGCAAATTCAATGCCAAACATGTCGGTGAGTTCTGATTTCATATTCCAGACTGACCCAGTTGCCAATCAGTGTTGTCATGGATACTTGCGGATTGCTTGATTTGGATGACGAACCCGTCGTTTTTCAGAAATAGATAATCATCTATTACATCCATTAGTTTTTCAACGAACTTGTTTATTTGCCTGAAGGTCGTACCCAGTTCACACCTAATTCAGATATGTTTACGTGAAAACTTGGGTGCTAAAACCATTTTCCGAATGGTGCCGACCAGCGGTAAAGCTGTCGGCTTGGGAATGCATTGAAATTTTCCTCGACGCTTACTCGACTTATAAATTCTTACGCGGATTTATTTTAATGTTAGAAGGCCAAAGGTTTGTTTTTTCCTAACTTGAAAATATTCTTTTGTATCCGTTAGCAAGCTTTCATTCCTAGATCTATCGTTGTGCAGTGCCTTCACTTTTTATTCTGGCGTATCTTCATTGCTACTGATCGTCGATTGGCTTATTATGCATCATTGGGTAGACAGCTATTATCCTCTGTCTTCGAAATTTCTGTCAAAGATTTTGTATCTGAAGCTGATCAGTAAGTTCTTTTAATTAGTCTGACTAAACATGTTTATATCTCAATCTTATCTCTGAATGCTATTTACGCTAGAAGACCAAGATATTTGGCTATTGGTGGTTTCAAGCATATGGCATCCTGTGGGGTTAATAT